ATGTTCCTTTACAATACAGCATTCAAATAGTAAGCCTTGTTCTAATGTTTTTAAATTAATTAGGTGATTTCCACCTCATGTTTTCATAAAATAAATATTTTTATCAATTCTAATGTACTCTGCCGAGTATAAATAAACATGATATATAATTTGATTCCTTCTCCAAAAACTACGTAAATACCAATAAGCCTATCACCTTATAAACTAAGTCATAAAATCTATTATAACAAGAAAATAATCTATCACAATCTGACTGGAAAACAAGTTCTATTTTAGAACAAAAACATCTCGGTGCATAAGCATTGACTTAGAACTGAAAACTTTAAAATATAATGTACAAAAAACAAGTATAAAACCAAAGGTGCTAACTAGATGAGTTTATACATACATCAACAATAGCACACAAGACCTAATACTATTATATATACCTTGAATATCTTACAAATTCAACAATGAAAAAGCTTTTGGATGATTTATTGACAGTTTAGCATCCAACAGCTAAATCTTCATTGCCCATTTTGATTTACAACCCCTAAACAGCAAATCTATACGAGAAAGCCATAATATACATATTTAACTAGATCGAATTTCCTAGACTAAGAAAGAAACAAATATATATACAATCTATGCTAAACGAACATACAATGCTAATTAACAGAAATTAAAGACCATAAGATATTTCAGAACCAATGAGCTGCATGCAACAATGTTGTGATCCAACCAAGTTGCTTCATATCTCTAATGGTTCACTTCCATCCTGACCTTCAGTGATTACACCATTCTCTTTTGCTTCTTTTGAGCATGCTTCGCCATTCTCTTTGTCTGCTTTCTCAGCCTTGAGCGTTGCTTCTTCTTCTGACTTTTTTTAGCTTCCTCCTTTGAAACCTCAAGAGCTTCAATCAAATTCTTCAAACAAGTCTCCTCATCTTCTTCGTCCGACTTTGGCATCAAATTCTCAGCAACGTCAGCTGGGGATATCTTCGTCTCCCCAAACAACTCTTCAATTTTTCCAAATAATTCATGCGATTCAATTTCCAGATAATTCTTGGCTAGCACCTTGAATGCTTCAAAGCAGCAATATGACATTTCTATATGCCTATCCATCCTTCCCCTCCTAATTAAAGCAGGATCGAGTTTGTCCACATAATTGGTAGTGAATATAATAATTCTTTCTCCACCACAAGCTGACCAAATTCCATCAATAACGTTCAAAAGCCCAGATAAAGTAACCTTGCTCTTGCTTTTGCTTTCTTCTTCAGCCTCCTTTTTCTTCTTAGAAATTGGATCCTTCTCTTTGTCTGCTTCATCGTCATCTTTCTCCTCCTTTTTCTTTCTCTGACCTGTAAGATCAATCGAGCAATCAATATCCTCGATCACAATAATAGACTTCCCTTTCGTTTCAATAAGTAGCTTCCGCAGCTCGCTGTTGTCCTTAATGGTCGTCAACTCAATATCATAAATATCGTAATCCAATAAATTAGCCATGGCAGCAATCATCGTCGATTTGCCGGTTCCTGGAGGACCATGAAGGAGATAACCACGCTTCCATGCCTTCCCAATTTTTGCATAATAGTCTTTCCCTTTGCTGAACTTGATAAGCTCCTTCTTGATCTCTTCTTTCATCTTTGTTCCCATTGCCAAAGTATCGAAAGTGGCAGGATGCTCAAACACGATACTGCCCCACTTGGTAGAATTCCACCCGTACCAATTCTTGCTAGGATTGTTGGTGTACAGCATCCTCTGTCTGCCCTTCACTGCAATTTCCTTTCCTTGTTTTAGGACATGTTCTATATAGGACTTGATGATTTCCCGATTACGTCTATGGAAAGTGAGCTTGTAATACCTCTTCTCTTCAGTGCCAGGATAGAAAGAAATGACTTTCGATGGAGTGGATTTTTTTCTTGAAGCCCACCAGACCTTCGCCCCATTGAAAACATCCGTAACTTCCTCATAATCATCCATGCTGAGGACTACAGATTGGCTGTCTTTGACAACATCAGCCTTGAGTTTTTTAGCATTCTTGGTAGAGTTGGTGCTTAGGTAGTTTTGAATGGCAAAGTAGGCATCGCTCCGCTTGAGACGTTCGCCTGTGAATTCATGGAAGGTAATTTCGATGTAAGGGCTCACAAAAGTCACAAACTTCTGAAAATATCTTTCAAGATAGGGACGAAGTTGATAAGGGAAATATTTATCAAACATGAACCAGGCAACCGATAGAGCAGTTATGGTGGAGCTTAGCTCAGTCCACATTTTTGCAGTTATCAACCTGGTTCTTGGCTTGGATCACAATATCGAATGTAGTGTCATATTTATAAGTGAAAAACAGAGGTTGTTTTATTATATATTATTTTTGTTGACTTAAAGGACTTGATGATCAAGTTGGCCGACAGGGTAGAAATTTCCTCCTCAGTGGCGCCTGAGTAATTCATGGAAACTTAACGTCCGAATTTTGTTAATCTTTATTTGTCGTACATTCCAACACAAGATATTGGTCCTGGGAAAATTTACTTGTCTTATTCATCCTCAACCGAATTGTAAAACATCACTCTCCAAGGAAGACGCTGGGTACCAGGATCTAGCCTGCAGCCGCTATTTTTGACCTCTGTCCGGCAATAACTTGTATAATTTTATCGGATTCTCACTCGAAAGCTATTGCGGATTTTTTTTTTGTTTTTTTCATCTGCTTTGATTTTCAAGGATTTTGTAAAAAAAAAAAAAATGACAATTGATTGGTTGAACAGTATTATGCAAGACAATCCAATTTCTAAACTCGTGTTTTTATGAATTAAATTCACTATTTTATGTACTGTAATGTCTATTCTATAAATATTTTATGTTTTATTTAATTAATATAAAACTAAATTAAACAAATTGAAATCAGTTTGCAAACTCCAAGTAAAATTTACAAGCTATCCGAACAAGTTATTATTCCCAATGATCATTCTAATTAAATTAATAATCTAAACTTTCCTAGCCTTTTAACAGTCCAAGCATATGTTTATGCTATTATATTTAATATACTAAATCAAAATGGTTTTTCGTTATAGTTGGGCCCTTACTATAAAGAAACCAAAACAAACCTTTTTCTAATATATATATATATATATAAATCACATTTTATCAATTTTTTAATATTTTACACTTTGATTCTCTAAATTATTAATTTATAAAAAAATAATCTTTAATGTTAATTAATATTACATAAAGGTTTCTATAATTTTTTTGTCGAATTGGGTTTCTAGCCTAGTCGTGTGGGTCCGGTTTTCTCCAAACCCATACAAAAGGGCTTGGTGTCAGCTTAGCCCGACCTTTTTTTTTTTTATGTTTTTATATTTTTTTCATTATTTATTATTTAATCAAAATAATTTTTTTCATAATTAATGGTTATCCTTTTTATTTTTATAAAGATTCATTAAATAAAATTAAATATTCTTCTAATATAAATTGATTAAGCACCTCATTCTTATTTGATTTTTTAAAAATTAATTAATTAATTCCATGTATTTTTTATTTATCAAAATAAAAAATATTCCTAAAATATATTTAAACTCAATTATATATATATATATATATATATATATATATATATATATATTAACTTAAAATTTCTTTTCTTTTCCTTTTACAGATAGTGTTAATTAATTTTTATTTTATTTAAAATTTATTTATTTTACAACCAAAAGATAATAATTCCTTAATTACCCAACAGGTCTCGTTAAGATGATCTAATTTATTGGGCTTGCAGGCATAGACTAATTATTAAGTATAACAAAAGGAGAGGGAAAATCGATCCGGACAAATATTTGGCTAACCCAGTTGCAGTTTGGCCAACTGTCTGCTTAATTAATTAACATTACGTAGATGTTTCTGCCCAACCAATCATAAAACAAGCATATCGTCAGGATTTCTTACGATTGAAATTGCCTCATCAGTGCCTCAATAATTCATGGGAACTTATGGTCAGGATTTGTTTGAGTACCTTAATTTGTCTTACATTTCAACACAATATATTTGTCCTTCGACAACTTACTTATTTTATGCACCATCAAGCGAATAGGAAACATCGATCACTCTCCAAAGAAGATGCTGGCGGCCTGGCTCCGGTCTCCAGCCTCCGCTTTTGACCACAGTGTATCGAGCAATATCTTGTATAATAAATATATGGGTTTCTCACTGAAAAAGGAGAGGGCAAACAGGTCAGGACAAAGAATTGGCTAACCCCACTTGCAAGTTGGCAATTAATACTTAATTTACATTACTTTAACTTAGATGTTTCCCCGACCACCCAACGAATCATAGAACAAGCAGATCTATATCTTTTGATTCACCGCCATAAGTTTTTTAAGCTTTTCCATGAATTTGACGTCCCTTAAGACTCTGAATCCAAATTGGAAACGACCATGACGTAACAGGGTTGATGTCATAGAGAAATGAAGACAAGTTTAATCCAAATAGGAGTAGTTCTGATTGCCTTTTTCTTATTATTCTGAATATAGCAAGAGAGATTGATTTTTTCCTGATAGTCTAATGATGCAGAATTGGCAGAAGGGTTTGGATACTGATATGACTATCATTAAAGAATAATCTTACCTAAAAGCTTAAACCGATAGGTGAGGTCGTAGAATATAATTTATATTAGTCTCTAACACATCCCCTTAAATGAAAGACCTAACATTTTGGACATGAAACTTGCACGAGTTCACATTACCTTATACTTAATATTTGAGAAATTGGGGATGGTGAGACTTGAACTCAAGATCTCAAGGTCAACCAAGCTCTAATACCGTATTAAATGATCATCTCATCTAAAAACTTAAGCTAATAGGTGATGCCATAGAATATAATTTATACTAGTCTCTAATAGCTATCTTGTTTATCAAGATGATGGCAACTTAACTTTTCTATGCACCTTTTAATGAAAGTATATAATCAGAAATATTATGTTTGACGTGAGTTTTGCGTATTGATTAAGTTATTTATTAGCTTTTGGTCCATTAGTTTCAAGTTGAACAAAATGATACAAATGGGGCTTCTTAACTTCATAAATTATGAAATTCTGCTAACAGGAAAGCCGCAAAGGGCTTAAGGGAGGATCATTGCCCTCCGTGAATAACACTATAAAAGGTTAATAATATCACCTGTTTTTATATAACAACTCAAGTTTCTAATTTATTTTTATATTTTAAAACGATATTATTATATTTTTGTTATTTTTACTAGTTTCTAATATATTTTTCAAGTCAATTTTTCTAATCAAATCACTAAAAAATAACTACGTAATTTGCATTGACATGTGTTTTTATAAAAATATCTCTTAAAAGTGGATTCATAAAAAAATATGATTTGCACATATGAGATATTTTCGTCAAAAGGCATGCCATGTGCAAGTCACATGGTTAATTTTTGATGATTCGACCATAAAAATAATTAGAAAATAATTAAAATAATAAAATCATTTAAAATATAAGGATATATTGTCCAGACTATTAATCTCAGTATAAATAGAGGAAGCATAAACAAGTTTTCAACACCAAACACACCAAGTTGACATAGGCAATTAATTAGGAATTAGGGGTTTGCGAGCTAGTGAAGAGAGATGGAAACGAAACTATTGGAAAGGTTTTTCAGATTAATAAAGCTTGCGTCAAACAAATATTTCCATGTCATGCTTTAAATTTAAATTAATTAAATATTTATCATCGCTTAAAATTATCATGCAACCTCGACATGATGTCAATGCCGAAAAACTGTCAGATTGACCTATATTGTTTATTAAAAAAAAATTCATAATAATCAAATTAAAATTACAAAAATTAACAATCTATCTCAATTTTACTAAAAGTTGATGATGCTTTAGGATCATTTAGCTGAAAATTTACTTTGAATATTTGTTTTGTTACTGATGTGATGAATGTATTCATTTTAAGCTTTTTTTTTTTTTTTTTTTTGATAATTCAGGGTGTATCGGGTCAACTTACGCGCATCTCGATTAATCCCCGGACCCACCGAACACCCTACAAGCCTTGTGGGCAAGTAAAGCATCGCGGAGGTGACGAGACGTGCGCAGAGAAAATCGAACTCGAGTGTCATCGGTGAGCGACCCTCAACCTCACCACTGGATTGTGATGTCAATAGGAGCTAAACCCTGTTCTTGTAATATTATTTATTAGGAACAAAGCTCTTGGAAATGTCATGTCACAGGGAAATTAGCGTAGTTAAGCCAATAAAATAAGGGAAGCTGTTTGCTATAAATTACCAATAAAATAAAAGAGTTCGAACTTTGAATAACAATAAATTCAGATTTCTTAGAACCCTAAAACATCAAATGGCTTAAGAGTGTGACTTTGGGATTGGGATGAAAATTAGAACTAAAAAATAGTATTAAAATATGAACATATGGGCTTGTAGCAGTACAGAAACGACAGGTTCATCTTGTTTAGGCCTATCCATCTAGCCAATAGCAAGCAGCCCATAATTCCGTGAGTAATGGGCTTTTATATCTTATTTGTATTTATTTATTTGCCTTTAGTATTTCTAGGCAGAAAAAGGCAAAGACAAGAGTGAGGGAGTGTTCTATGGCCGGTGATTCTGAGAAGTCAAGCAGAGGCAGAGACATCCAATGTCTTCTTGTGTCTTCGTGCTCCAACAACAAAAGACGAAAGACAGAAACCCCATCATCATCTTCATCCGAGCAGTCCATTTTGTGTCTGAATGATCTCCGTTTCCCCTTGATTGAAGAAATTCTTGGAAGGGTACCCACCTCCAAATCTGCCTTGTGTCTGCAAAAATTGGTACTCTCTGATTTCCACTCCTGATTTTGCTCATCGCTCCATAACCCACCATTTCAGCCATCGGAACAAGCAAAACCCACATGCACTTATTGTCATTTATCTAATCAAATTGTATAGATATAGTCTGATCGCAATTTCTGATGAACCCATGTTCAAATCGTCGTGGATTTTAGCCATTTTCAATGACTTGGTGCTATGTTCGGTGAAATTCAATTCTATGTATTTTAAACTAAAATTTTGCACATACATGGGCAAAATCTCACAATTTTCGAAGTCTAAAAATATAATTGTTTATTTTTTTTTAATATTAAAAATGTATAAAATCAGAACAATATAAAATAATCTCAAATAATTCCTTTTTTTTTTTTTTGAGAGCTAAAGATAAATTTTTTAAAATGATTTCATTATAAAAATATTTATGTAATTATTATTTTTAGAAATAAATGACAAAAAAAAATGAAAGATGGATTAAATATCATAAAATAAAAAAATTAAAATTCGATATTAATTTTTTAAATAAGTTAAAGTTCATGACAGGTTGGGCTCTTTTAGCCCATTCCAATATTGAAACTAGAATTAAAAAAATATTAAACTATTTACCTGTGGGCTTATAGGCCCATGAGTCATTGGCAACAATGAGCCCTTTTCTGGTCTTTGCATCTGTTTCCCCTACATTTCTATGCCCTAAATGGGAGAGTGACTGCTTGAGAACTATGGCTGGTGATGATGAGAAGCAAGGCACTGTCGCAGACCAGTTATCTCTTCTTGTTTCGTCCTGCTCCAACAAAAGAACAAAAACAGAAACACCATCATCTTCATCTTCATCAGAAGTGTCCAATTTCTCTCTGAATGATCTCCAAGTCCTCTTGACGGAAGAAATTCTTCAGAGGCTACCCGCCACCAAATCTGCCTTTCTGTGCAAATGTGTCTGCAAGAATTGGTACTCTCTAATTTCTACTCCTTATTTTGTTCGTCGCTTTATAACCCAACATGTCAAACATCAGTACGAGCAAAACCCTTCTGCACTTTTCATCAATTATTGGAATAGATTGAAGGGTTATATACTATTCCCAGTATCTGACGAACCCATGTTTAAACGTAGTGGATTTGATTTAAACTTTCTTCCTGAAAGAAATGGGTCGGTTAGGGTTTCAGCCATTTTCAATGACTTGATGTTATGCCGTGTAGATAAGTTGGAATCTAAATTTGGAAGCTCTCGGTGTTATTATTATATATGTAATCCATTTACAATGCAATGGGTTGCGCTCCCCCCATTTGCATGTGATAGCAGAAAAAGGGACACCCGTGCTGGATTTGTTTGTGAACCTTATTATTTTGAAGATAACCAAGGAGATTGTACTATCAATAGCAAATATCGGTTTAGGGTAGTTCATTTTGCGAGAAGTAAATCTCAACAAATTGTTTTGAGGACGTATCGGCCAGAGACTCGGCAATGGTATAGATCAGTTCTTGAAGGTCCGGAGTATAGATGGCATTCTAATGTTGTCGCCTACAATGGAAAGTTGCTTTGGTACAATGGCAGCCGGATTTTTGCTTATGATCCCTTCAACCCTGAGCTTTCCACTTTTGTTGATTGTTCATTTTCCCTTGGTATCTGTCCTTGCATCGGTGTGTGTCAGGGCTTTCTGCGGTTAATGCAATTTACAGTTTCTGCTGGTCTCCATAGAAAGGCTTTGGATATTTGGGAACTTGAAGATTATACTACTCAGAAATGGAGCTTGAAGCACAAGATTTATCTGGATGCAATGATAACTGAACGTCTATTGATTAAGCAAATCATAGATGATGAGAAAATTGTGCATGATGGCAATGACCTTTTGAAAACGCTGAGTTTCCTCCCAAACGATAGGGATGTTGTGTACTTTAGTTTCAATGCTTTTCTTATCTCGTATAACTGTCAGACAAGAGTGGTGAAAGTGGTTGACTCTCTTCCATTTAAAGGTGGCTTTTTTGGTATTGAAATGAAATTCTGTATTGAACTCCCATTGTGGCCAACACCAATTCCCAAAACTGATTGAAATCCTCCATTAGTTATTAAGAACGCCACTGGTTATTATTCTATTTTGCATCTTTTCCTCTCAAATATTAAGTCTATGAGTTATGACTGTATTCACCTTGTGTTGATAGTACCTAATTCTGCTCTTGGTGTTTTCTCATTTGTTACTTTTAAGTTATGCTCGTTGTCTCAATACTTTTTCTCAATGGTTACTTCAAACCAATTGAAGTTAGACTGCCTGTTCTTGATGGTAGAATGAATGAGGAATTTGCAGAATGGTATAGATACTGCTCTGGCTATCTTGTCTTTTAGGCTGATGGAAGTTCAACTTCTTAATGCACATTCTTTCCGAATTTACGGTCGGTCATCTGCCTGCATCTTTTTTATATGCTGCAAAACAAGCTAGTCTCTTAGCTAGAATGATCTTTGTTGGATGAACCTTATATAATTTCTCCCAGACTGTCTTTTGTATACTTTATGAATGTCTCTGTAAAAATCCTCAACATGAAAAAAGAAACCTTTATGGGAAGATTTGCTTGAACGCTACATTTTCTGGTGATGATTATACAGATTTGAGCTTTCTTTCCCTTATCAATCTGTTTTGATTGTGGAGAATATTTCCAGATATTCATATACTCTGTTGAAGAACCTTCTCAGTGATTTATCTTGCAATGGTGTTCTGTGAGAAAATTGACACTTCCTTCCCTCCTCCCTCTGTTTTTCTTCTGCTTCTTCTTCTTCATCTCTCTTTTTTTTTTTTTTAAAATGGACATGGAAAAAACTGTATAGACATGGAATGCAAAAAAAAAAAAAAAAAAAGTCAAAAAGTAAATTGAAGACATGTGCATGACGTTAAGGATAATCAAAAGAAAAAAATTTACAACTGCAAAAGTTTTATTTATTTTTTTATATATAAAAAATTTACATGTGCACATTAATATAACGTGTAGCAATGAGAATTTTTAAAAAAATTATAAATCATTAGCTTGGGTTTACACATGAATTATCCTTAAGATTTGGATAGAATCATGATCTGATTTACTTCTCAAGTTATAATCTAAATCGAGATTATATATATATATATATATATATATATATATATTTGCGAATGAACAGATGATAAATCTATATATAAATGAAGTAGATGCATCGAAGAGAATTTATTTTTCTAAATGAACATAATCGATACGGAAAATGTGTATTTTAACATAATTTGAAATGAAGATTTAATCTCGATTTTTCCACAAGCTAACTCGAATCGAGTATACCTGTCTAAATATATATAAAAATATATATAATGAATACGGAAAAATAAAAAAAATTATACAAAATTACGAATTTAAATTCTAATAGATTAATTTTGTTATAAAAATAAATAAACAAACTTATAAAAGACTACGAATTTAAATTTTAATATATTAATTTTGTTATTACGTGTGGGTTGAAAACAAAAAACGAAAAAGATGCATTTTAACATTATTTGAATAGAAGATTTAATCTCGTTTCTTGCACAAGCTTGCTCCAGTCTGGTGTATCCGAACCGTTGGAAAAGAAAAATAATAATAATGGTGGACTGGGTTTGCCTAGTAATAACAGGCCACCTTGTCCAGGCCCATCCGTTGCTTCCTCATATTTGCCTTCAGCGGCAGTATGGTATTTTCACCCTTCATCTCTAAGACGCAAAGGAACATTGAGTGGGAAACTAAGCTATGGCTGATGATTCTGAGAAGCCAAACACAACCAGAGATCAATCTGTTCTTGCGACTTCATGCTCCAACAAAAGAACAAGAACAGGAAGTGAAAACCCGTCTTCATCTTCATCAGAACCTGTCAATTTCTCTCTGAATGATCTCCAAGTCCTCTTGATTGAAGTTCTTCAAAGGCTATCCACCACCAAATCTGCTTTTCTTTGCAAAAGTGTGTGCAAGAATTGGTACTCTCTTATTTCTTCTCCTTATTTTGTTCGTCGCTTTATAACCCACCATGTCAATCATCAGTACGAGCAATGCCCATCTGCCCTTTTCATCAATTATTCGACTGAATCCAATGGTTGTGGACTATTCACCTTTTCTGATGAACCCATGTTCAAATCTAGTGGATTTGAGCTCAAGTATCTCCCTGAGAGAAATGGGTCGGTTAGGGTTTTAGCCATTTTCAATGACTTGATTTTATGCTCGGTCAAGAAGCGGAATTTAAACCTGTGGTATTATATCTGTAATCCATTTACAACTGACTGGGTTGCCCTCCCTTTGCTTGAACTTGATGACGAGGAATTCAATACCAAGGTGGGATTTGTTTGTGAACCTTATTATTTTGAAGATAGCAAGGGAGAATGTACTATCAATAGCAACTATCGGTTTCGGGTAGTTCATTTTTCTAGACCAGAAAATTTTCATTTTTTTGGACCAGAAAAACCTCAGATAGTTATGAGGACATAGTGGTCCGAGACTCAACAATGGTATAGATCAGTCCTTGAAGGTTCAGAGTATACCTGGTCTAGTAATGTTGTTGCCTACAATGGGAAGTTTCTTTGGTACAACGGTGAGCAAATTTTTGCATACGATCCCTTCAATCCCGAGCTATCCACTTTCATTGATTGCACATATATTCGTTCCACAAAGTTTCAGTGGCATTGGACAAGATATTGCATTGGGGTATGTCGAGGCTTTTTGCGGATGATGCAATCGACGGCTCATCACAATATTAAAGCTTTGGCTATTTGGGAACTCAAAGATTATACTACATGGGAATGGACCTTGGTGGACAAGGTTTATCTTGACGGAATGATACTTGAGAATTCTTTTCTCGAGAAAATTTTAGATGGTAACGAGTACACTTTACAACCACTGGGTTTCCACCCAAATGATGGGGCTATTGTGTACTTACAGTTCCGAACTTTTGTCATCTCATGCAACACGCAGACAAGAGAGTTGAAAATGGTCGATGATCCTCCAGGTGAAAAAGATTTTTATGATCAAGGAGGTGTCTTCCGTATTGAACTTCCATTGTGGCCTACTCCAGTTCCCAAACGGATTGAAGTCCTCCCAAGCTCTTAAGACATGACTAGTTATGTTTCTATTGTTTCATACTGTCTCGTATTAACTCTTATCACTACATTCACCCTGGTGTTGATAGTGCGTATTTCATTTCCTGATGTTCTTATTAGTATTAACTGCCACTGGTTAGCTCTTGTCAATTGTTACTTTAAATTAAGTGCATTTTCTGGTACTTGTCGTTCTTTCCTATTGCTTGTGCTTCTTTCCTGATGGTATAATGAATGCAGAATTTGCAGAATGGCCTGGATACTGATCTGGCTATCTTGTCGTTTAGACTGATGGCTATTAAGTTTTAAAGCACACTTTTCTGAAGTTTACGGTCATTTATAGTCATATAAATGTCTTCCGTATTGAAGTCTCATTGTGGCCTACACCAATTCTGAAACCAATTGAAATCCTCCGATGTTACTTAAGTACATGATCAGTTATTGTTCTGTTTTTCTATATTGTCTTTTCTTCTCAGACATTAAGCTTATACGTGCATTGATCTTGGTGTGTTGATAGTATGTATTTCTTCTCTTAATGTTCCTATAAATATTAAGGATTACCTGCCATGTTAGTTTTTGTCAATTCTAGCTTTAAGATCATTGCCTGATACTTTTCATTCTTAGCTCATCAAACCAATTGATGTGAGACTAATGAATGCGGAATTTGCAGAATGGCTGCCTTTTCCTGATGGATAATGAATGCGGAATTTGCAGAATGGTTTGGATACTGATCTTGCTATCTTTGTCTTTCAGGCTGATGGAAATTAACTTCTGAACGCCCACTCTTTCTGAAGTTTATAGTCTCTCACCTGCGTGCATCAGTCTGTGTAAGCTGCAAAATCACATCAGTAAGCAAGAATAATTGTGGTTAGCTCAGCCTTATTTACTTTCTCCCAGCTTGTCTTTTGGTATATCCTACTGATATTTTTGTGAAATCTTAACTATGAAACCTATACCTTTATAGGAAAATTTGCTTGAAGACTTCATTTTCTTGTGATGACTGTACTGATTTGAGCTTTCTTGCCCTTATCCCTATATTTGAGTATGGAGAATATTTAAAGTACATATACTCTGTGCAAGGGCCTTGGCAGGTTTTATCTTCCAATGGTATTCTGTGAGGAAAGTTTTGACATTTTTTGAAATATTGAAGCCTAATCCTGTTCTGGTAATCCTATGAACAAAATTAGGACCAAACTGTTTTGGGCAAGCTAATAATAAAACAAAAAAATACTTCAAATCGCCTTTAGTCATCCAAATTCTTACATGTATTCTCCAATCAAGAGCGTTGGTTTATCTATCTATGTAATTTAAACATCATAGAATGTTCATTTCATTACATAATAAACTAATTAAAAACAAAAAAACAAAAGGCCTACTTGTCTTGGCCTTCATCTCTAAACGAGAAGGCAAAGATTGAGGGAGAGCTCAGCTATGGCTGGTGATTTTCAGAGCCCAAGCACAGACCAATCTCTTGTCTGCAAAAGAAAAAAGGACACAAACCCCATCATCATCTTCATAAGATTCATCCAATTTCCCTCTGAATGAACTCTTGATTGAAGAAGTTCTTCAAAGGCTACCTACCTCCAAATCTGCCTTTCTATGTGCGACAATTGGTACTCTCTAATTTCATCTCCTTATATTACTGGTCGCTTTATGACCTACCGTTTCAATCATCAGTACAAGCAAATTTCTTTGCAAGCTACAAAACTATACCACTGTCTTAGCAACATTATTCTTAGTTGGCTAAATCTTACCTTCTTTTTCCTAAGCGGTCTTTGGTATATCTACTGATGAATGAAACCTTCACAGGAAAATTTGCTTCAAGACTACTTCTTGTGCTGATCTAAGCTTCCAAATACACCATTGAAATGTCGGTCGAAGCATATTAGAGAATAATATAAATTATATTTTGAGATTTCATTCAACTTCTTAAACTTAACAAATCGTATCTTCAAATTTCATTTAACCGTTTAAATTGT